AATTACTTCGCTTGCGATGACTTAATTCTGCTCGGTGGGTAAACCATTATTGAGCTTGTGTGAATTTTTATCAATATCGCCTTCTCTAAGCGCGGAGTCGTTTATATAAGCAAACACTTAGGCAGTTTGTTGCGTTACACGTGTGATATTTAATCATATGCTTGTGTTCTGTGCAAGCCGTAGTGCTACCCATTCTCAAATCAAGCTGCTGGTAGTCATTTCTCCTGATTTTTTTTATTGGCATACACAAACGCACGCACAAAGGTCGCGCTTGTGGATAGCGTGCGTATGTTCGTGCGTATATACGGCATGTCTGTCACGTTGCATTCGTAGCGTGCGTAGTGGGCGTGCATATACCTGCTTTCAATATCATGTACTGCCAACATGAACAACAGAGTGTCCAAAAGCACGCAAACCTAATCATTAGAAACCTTATAACATGGATCGGCGAATGTTCAATAGAAGGTACGATTTGCCTTACCTCAAGACACACCAGCACAAGCATAGCTCCTTTATGTAAGCGTACGAACGAACACTGCACTCTGCCACGCACTGCTCACCGCTCGCGAGACGCTGCTTCTTAGGGGCAAAGCTCCTTAGGGCGTGGGCTGTGCGTCCCCTGTAGCCTGTATGTAGCCACCTCTAGTTTAGTTCTTGCAGTGTTCACTAGAATGGCGGTACCGTCCCTGTATGTAGCCAACTCTAGTTTTAGTTCTTGCAGTGTTTCACTAGATGGCGGTACGGTTCCTGTATGTAGCCACCTCTCGTTTAGTTCTGTAGTGTTTACTAGATGTTGGTTCTTGTAGCTGATGATGAAAAGATGCAAGATGTTATAAACTAGAAAGCGGTACTTGTAGTTGATGAAAGACGCAAGATTATAAATAGGAATGATGTCACATATGGCGCGTGTCATTGGTTGAGGCAATCGTTCGATTTAGTGCGGCGACGTACGCTAGGGGGAGCGTTGTAATAAAATACGTTCGCTGTTGGCGCGCGCTCGGAGTCGCCGGATGGATAAGGCTGCACAGCGGAGAGAGCGCAAGGCGGCAGCAGCGCGCGCTCGCAGACAAAATCCCGATGTGCGAGCGCGCGAGGCAAGGGACATCGCAAGCCATCCATCGTTTAAGAACAAATAAAAGTTAATTTGTGTATATACACACACAGCGTTTCTCACGTCTTTACATGATGATCGACTGGGCGAATTTCACGGAAGATTCACAGTTTACCTATGAATCCCTCCGGAGCTTCGCCCATTCATCATCATTCACCCCGTGAATATGCCGTAATTTTTCTCTTATCAGGTGAACTGAATGCGTATTCAGCTTTTGATGGCAAAACAAAACTCACTGGGATACATAAAAGTGGCGGCAAAGGTCGCAGCGTACTTAGCTCAAAAACTGATAAGGCCTTGCCTGTTGCAGTGTAGCAACGAAGCGCAAAAGGACTGCAGTGCGTTTCGGAGAGACCCGTCAACATGAGCAGTGGCCGTCTTCAACTTTGGGCTCGTCGAACAGGTTCTTCGACTTGAAGTAAATATGGTTGCGTTCACCGAAAAGGCTGGGTGTTCCCACCCATAGCAGGATTATTTCCGCTCTTTCGCCAATAAAATTCTTTATGCCGATGAGAATTAAGCGGTCCGCTTTCACGTTCAATGAAGCAACGCGATCTGACGCCACAATCAAAAAACTTCAGCACAGCGCCAAGGGAAACCATGGCGAAAGTGCCACGTTGACCCTGTTAGGCGCATTCACTTTTGCTCATTCGACCAGCATTGCCTGCATGCGGAGCGTTTTCTGCAGTTGTAAAAGAGAGTAATTGAGTTTACGTAATGTTGATGCCGTCTATCTGTAACAGTCCCGCCGACATATATTGCAGGGGGCGTGTAGTCGAGACGTTCTGTTAGGTTAAGCGGTCCTCAGCAGGGCAATTTTTGGAACGTCACACTCCAGCCTTGTTCCTTTTTCAAAAACCTCATGGTAATTATTTGATGTTCTTTTTTTTTCGCCTGAGAACAACGATATGATTATGAGTGACAGCGAAATGGAGGGCTGCAGAAATTTTAAACATCTGGAGGTCTTCAACGTGCACCTAAACCTAGGCACAAGAGCCATCTCGTATTTGGACTCAGCCGAAACAGACCACCACTCTGTTTTCGGGTAAGCAGTCGAGCACAATAACCACCAAAGTACCGTGGCGAGTTCTGACAACTTCGCAAGGATGATTAACACGCGGAATACAAATTAATTTCAAATAGATAAGCCACACAACAGCTTGCGCAGCCATTGTATCACCTGCAATTCGCTGTTGGTGACTGGCCATATTCGGCCTCGCGGTTCCGGTTGGTGCCCTCCTGGTGGCAGTGGCGGTGTTCCTCTGCTGCTCAGGCTGCTCGGCGAAGGGCGCCACATGTAAACCTTTGGACGCAAGTCGCTTGAAGTATGTTAAGAAAGGCAATATGCTGAATGATGGCACCATAAATGATACGAATGTAAGAATTTGCGACCTGTAGCGTTCACGTTATCACAATCGTGGTTGCAATTGTCGTTGTAATTTTGTGTCTATCTATGGACGGACATCACACTCGGTGACTTGGATCGATTGTGATGTCGGTTTAGACGTGCAGCTGCAAATTCCCTAACCATATCAATGCGCCTCTAGTTTCCTCTAAGTTCTGCAGTCTCCCAATGCAAATTTCTTACCTTAAAACCATTTATGAAACACTAATGAGTAAACAGTTACACAGGGTGTGTCATGAAATGTGCGCAACGTACTCTGAAAATCAGAAAATGCGACAATTTATAGCTGGATTCAAAATTGATTTTCTTTTTATAGAGGGGTATGCATCTAAATAGATCGGAGACATTATTTGCACAAGCAAAACAGATTGTGCCCTAAAAGAATACAGCATATATAGAAAACCTAGTTTTGTTCCTACTCTAACGTGAAGTAAGGACGCAGAGTGAGCTTCTAGTGACGCGAGCGGACAAGAAATCGTCACTTATCCACGGTCGCATCGCTAGGTGACGCGCAAGATGACGTCATCCCAACTCGCCGTACGAGCGCTTCTGATCACCGCAATTGGTACTGTAGTCTGACGTAACGCTAGTGTCGATGTAGTGGTGGAGCAGGTTGGGGCTCCCTGTAGTCCCTCTCATAATTTGTCAATATTAGTAAGTGCGCCAAACAAAAAATGAGTTCAATGTCAAAATAAAATATTATCAGCAATCTCTGAGCTTCACGCCTGATTGAGTTGTCTTGATATGCTGGAGATTCTTATGACGACGTGAACAAGGCTTATCAAATTGGCGCCGTATCTATTTAAAATCTAGGGTACATTTACGGTCGGGAGGGATCGCCCGATGGAGCTTTACAATATTGTGATATATCGAATTATGTGATTTCATTGTAACGAGGATCAGGCCAGCATGAACAACAGCGACACGGAGTAAAATAGCTCGCCTGCATCATGTGGAAGAACTGCATCGGACCAGGTCTGGCTGCTACTTCCGGCCTGGGGAGTTGCATCTGTGGACCTGGCAAGGCGAAGTGGGGTTCGACCATTGCAGGAGCCACGGCCGCGGGCAGCACATAAGGCAGTGGTGGAGCCAGGGCTGGAGGTGTGGCAGCCGCAATAACTGGCCAGCACAGCACCGCTGCATCGTGGAAAACTTAGTTTCATTCGCTTGCTTCTACCACGACGCAGCATAAATGACTGCTACATAAGTGCAGTAGACGCCTCCTGTGTTCAAATGAACACATGAGGTGCACTTTTTGCCAAGTTTATCAATACCATCACCCGACACGTCGCATATTCTGTGTGCCCGTGAAAGCTCACAAAGGCTGAAAAAGGGAGCAGCTCAAGCAGACATGAAACACGCCGGAAATCTTAGTCGGTAGGTATACCGTGAATGCATGCTGTGTGTGTGTGGGGGGGGGGGGGCTGCGTTTCTGGGGCACTGCGCTTCTACCAAGTGACTATTTCGGTGATTTTCTATAACATTGGACTTCAGCGAATTGCGATCAGTAAATCAAAAAAGGGTACCTGGAAGACTTCGCAGTGAACTCTGCATGCTGAAGGCTGTTTCGAAGGAAAGTAAAAAAGACTTGGTTTAAGCGTACATGACAGGGTATGTATAGGTGAGAAAATGTGTTCACAAGTTTGAAAAAAAATTGTGATTCGTTAGTTTGCCCCACCCATCTGTGTCTGCTTCCTGAAAGACGTCATTCGCAATGCTGTATGCTTGATATGTGGAACGGTTTTTCATACTGAACGCCATACTATTCCTTTCCTATTTTTCGACAGTAATTGGCGCATATTTTGTAATGCGACTTCGACACGAATACTTAGCGGAATCTGGCTAATTGCAATTGCTAATATTTTACCACACTTTCTTCACGGGAAAGAAAGAAACAAAAAAAGAAAGAGAGAAAGCAAGCAAGCAAAAAAGAAATATAATAAAAAAAACGAAAAATTATAAAGAAAGAGAAAAAGGAAAAGTAGGGCTTAGCCAGAGATGGCTCCAAAATGACAAACCTTGTATTTGGCATGGGAAAAGAGGGTATGTATGAATAAAAATGAGCGAAGGGCAATAAAGCTAGACGTTACACTCACAGTGGTAGTCTCATAATATCAGTGTACTCACGCGCTGCGGCTACTCCGACTGTGATGTGAGCTGCAGCGGCTTGGGCTGTTTGGTCGAAGAACCATCCCATAGTTCGGGCTCTTGCATCGAAAAACTGTGGCAGTCCAGGGCCGTTCACTTGGGGATGAGATGAAAAGACGCGGGAAAATTATATTACAGCTGGTGTTTTTATGTAAAAAGAAATATATTGCCAACGCAAGTAGATACGGCTGGGTTTTCAATGTTAGACATAGTTTGTAGGCCTAAATGACAGGAAGGAATATAATCAACTCGTATGTGTGTTCTGTCACATTTTATTCGGTCATACACGTTCCGCTTTCAAGCCTACACATGTCGCACCAACAAGGTTGGAAATCAGCCCTTACCAGATGAACTTTGTCGCCGAATACCTCAAGATGTGTCAAATACTGTAATGTTTAAACAACGTTCCACGTCGAGAAAATGTGATTGAATTTTTTACCTTCATATACATCACCAGCAAATCTTGACAAAAACAATACAATGATAAGGTATTCTACGCTGTGCTACCACACCCAATTGGGAACCTACAGCAAATGGCTGTGAATACTTACGCACAGCAGTGCCGTCTCTGCTGAGGGCTGCCAGCGAGCTCAGCTGGTTTAGTGGGTAAGTGGTTGGTGGCTCACAGGTGGTGACAGTACCAACCCTATGCAGTGGCGGTATCGGAGCTCTGCGTATTCGCTGTATATGACCACGGTATCAATCTTCAATCAATCAGTTAGTCAATCTATCTATCAATCAGTTATTCAATCAATCAATCAATGAATCAATCAATCAATTGATATGTACTCAGACAGATTGCCAAATTAAGGACAGCTGTGTGCACAAACGTGTGCAGGATTCCTTTATAAAGGTGAGGGGGAGGAACCGCTGTTCCATCACATCATCGCCCCCTGCCCCCCCGTTTCAGCTTCCCTGTTTCTTTGACAAATTCGAAGAAGAGAAGCTTCGCAATACATGCAAAAATCTAAATGAAGCGAGCCCACCGTGGTGGAGCAGTTGTTAAGGAGCTCTGCTGCCGACCCGAAGGTCGCGGGTTCTGTCCCAGTCGTGGCGGTCGCATTTCCATGCAGGTGAATTGTTAGAGGCCCGTGTACTGTGCCATTTCAGTGCACGCGGCAAATAACACCGGATGGTTGAAGCATCCGCAGCCCTCCCTTACGGCGTCTTTCGTAATTATGTATCGTGGCCTTGGGACCTTAAACGCCATATTTAATTATACTTTGGACGTTTATTAGCCGGTAGTCAGCAATAACGCGTAATGGAGAAAGCCAGAGCAAGGCATGAACTCTGACACGAGTGGCGCCCTTCTTGGAGATCACCCACTAAAAGGTCCTCGAGAGTGAAACACGTTACTAAGTTCCTAAACATCGCTACGTTATTTGATTGAAACGAAGACATGATTCCCGCAATGGCCTGTATTCGATCGCCGGTTCACGGGGGATAAAAATTGGAGCAGCTCTGAGTAAGCAGCGTCAGTGGTTCCCGACCATCATTAACGTAAAAGAAGCTTCATTGTTAGAACCTGCATTTTCATACCTTGCACAAGAACGACGACAAGGACAATAGAGTAAAGTTAAGGGACCGATTTGGTGCTCTCTTCTCTGGTTACGCTCCTCCCCTCTCTCCCTGACCATTTTCGTCAGCTTTTTTATATGCAAGCTTACGGTCAGGAACAAACAGATATAGAAACCAAAACAGTAGATGCTGGCTGTTGACGCAGTGCACCACATCCGTGTTCTCGGTGTGTTTTTAAGTTCACGTTGATACGAAGTGTGCACGAAAGCGCAGGCCTGTGCAAGCGTTTCTAAGCATTGCTGCAATCTGGCTTCTCCGCAATGTGAAGTTTACTAAAAAGAAGCCATCTTGACGTGCGGTCTTCAGTCGTCCCAACGCTAAAAATTGTTCGCAATACTAGATTTCAGCCAATCTGGACGCTGGGCATATCACCATCAAATCTGGTTCACAAGTTTCGAAGAACGTTTAGGAACAGAAAACTTTGCTAATTTGACTGAACACTTTCAGATTTACACGCTATGTTACCTTACCCGAATGCAAGAGATACGATTGAAAACGGTTCATTAAGTTTTTTCTCGTTAGGTAGATTTCTCGTAGCTTGAAACCGGAGGTGCAACTTTAATTATTCACTCTAGTGACGTGATGCAAGGCCTATGCTAAGTGGCATGCTGATTGACCTATCTCATTCTTCCACTACTGCTCCTGCTCCTGCTTCGACGACGACGACGACGACGACGACGACGACAACAACAACAACAACAACAACAACAACAACAACAACAACAACAAAAACAACAACAACAACATTAATAATATTATTAATAATAATAATTACCCCCCACTGTTTTTAAAGGAAATGTGACGATTTCGATCTAGTTTGGCTACCGCGTTTCAACTCGTATTACTGTCATAGGCCAATGTTGCTTACTGTTAGCTAGGGTAGATATAGATTAGTTATTCGGTGCTGCGACAGCAATGTTGATTTTACGGTATTGATCTCGTTCCGGTCAATGACGCTGTCATTAGCGATCATACACCGCGCGAAGGCCGCGCTGTTCCGACTGTCCTCTTGCTTCTTCCTTCGCTTTTAAAACACCGCCTTTTAATTCGAAGTTAATGCGGCAGCATAAAATTTTAGTGGTGCTCACACGTATGTATTTGTCTAATGCCTGAATACACGCACTTACGCAGTATGGCCGTGCAACTGGTCTAGCCGATGGGGTGGATGGTGCGGCAGCCGTCGACCTGCCAGTTTGCGTTGCCCGACCGTCGGCCTGAGTGCTGGCCAGGGTAGCAGTGGTTGCCCACCGCCTGAGCCGGAGTGGCAGCGGGGAAGGTGATTGTGGAGGCCGTGGTAGGGGCTGCAATACAGCAGCACTTGGACCCAGGGATGCAGAGGTGCTCTGTGCTTCCAGCTCCTGGTCTTCCGAAGGCTCCTGCTTCACTTTGCTGACAATCGCCTTGGCTATGTGCTCCTGCTCCTTGCGTTGGTGTGCCTCGCGTGGGTTGTAGACGTAGCCTGCGCATTGACGAACTCACTGTAGCGTGGTATACGCCGTTCGAGCGATTCACGTCACCTAAGTGGAATGATTTTGAAACGAGACTGCATGCACAAGCATTGAAGTGTGCCTAAGGATTAGCTCAGCGCCGAAGCTCTTCGGATCAGCGTTACGAAACGCTCGTAATGGTCAGTGATGCGACACGGCTTTAAAGGCTCGTTCACACCTACAACCATTTACGAGTGGCAAATAAAAGCGGTTCAAGGCAATGATTGTTCACGCCCGAGTGTGACCTCTACGCATCGTCGTCACACAGAATTCATGACTTCTCGCATATAGCTTTCCTACCTCCATGTAGCTTACCTTGCCAGTGTCCCGCAAAGTAAGCTCACGTAATTTTCCTGCTCATGTGACTGGCTCAGAGTTTTGCAACTGATGCCGTCCGACTGCAAATTTAAGGAGCGAGTGCATGAGCTACAGCTGTCACCTTGTGGCTGAAGTGGTCGTTTGCGACTATTTGCAACCAGTCGCTTTTCGACTAACTTTATCGCACGACCGGTGCTAGACATAGGTGTGAACGAGTTTTAGCGCTTGACGCAATTGCTCCTCTCCAGTTTACCGTACAAATTTACCATAAGTTCGTGGTCGGCATGTCAATATTTCAATCTGCCATGCTTGTATTTTTCACTATAACCATTCGATCACGTACCATATGTGCACCGAGCAACTCGCACAAAATTGTATCAGCTTCTCGGATAGTGGTATGTTTTGAAACGCAACGGTAATATCCTACAGCGTGAATGGTACTGTAGTACAATCATTGCTGATAGGTCCAGATGACGGTGGGCAGGTTTATACCGGCGAGAAGTACGAAATGGGGATTTCAAAAGACGACTTTGACAGAGCTACACGATTTTTTATTCTACTCCTTGTGATCGCTTTCACCTTTATGTTTAGTTGATAGATAGATAGATAGATAGATAGATAGATAGATAGATAGATAGATAGATAGATAGATAGATAGATAGATAGATAGATGCCCCGCCGCGGTGGTCTAGTGGCTAAGGTACTCGGCTGCTGACCCGCAGGTCGCGGGTTCGATTACCGGCTGCGGCGGCTGCATTTCCGATGGAGGCGGAAATGTTGTAGGCCCGTGTGCTCAGATTTGGGCGCACGTTAAAGAACCCCAGGTGGTCGAAATTTCCGGAGCCCTCCACTACGGCGTCTCTCATAATCATATGGTGGTTTTGGGACGTTAAACCCCACAAATCAATCAGATAGATAGATAGATAGATAAATAGATAGATAGATAGATAGATAGATAGATAGATAGATAGATAGATAGATAGATAGAATTGTGACCCCCGTACTGAAGTATTATTTATTGATCTTGCATTACTAAACAGATTTTGCGATAAATTCAGCAGTTCTCATGCAACTTGGGAATTGACGTTAGGCGAAGCACGCGAAGGGAAGGTGGCCGTCTTGTAATATTTGTTGCCCCGCCGTGGTGGTCTAGTGGCTAAAGTACTCGGCTGCTGACCGGCATGGCGCGGGTTCAAATCCCGGCAGCGGCGGCTGCATTTCCGATGGAGGCGGAAATGTTGTAGGCCCGTGTGCTCAGATTTGGGTGCACGTTAAAGAACCCCAGGTGGTCGAAATTTCAGGAGCCCTCCACTACGGCGTCTCTCATAATCATGAAGTGGTTTTGGGACGTTAAACCCTACATATCTATCAATTGTAATATTTGTTATTGAGTGATACGTTACGAAATGACGCTAAGTATATGCGAAGTCTTGTACACACAGACATATGTTGAAAAGTCGCACGTTTTATATAACCAGTTATTTGCACTTTCAACACGATGCCAACAGCAACATGAGTATTAACAACACAAGAAGCGGTAAGCTGATATGTAACACTTGTACATGAGGATAGCCCTGGACACTGCTGCAAAAAAAAAAAAGAAAAACTACAGCGTTTCCACAGAGTGAATAATAATTGGGGCGAAGCATCTGTCAGCCCTTCCGTGCTTCCGTCCGTCCACGCGACCATCTGCGCGTCCCTCCACGAGTCCGTTCATCTGTTCGTGCGTCGATCCACCCGTACGCCCATGCATCCGCCCATCTGTCCATCCGTCTTCTAGTCTGTCTGTTGGTCATCTGTGCGTCCATCTAGTGAACACTCTAAGTACCCCCATCTCGCATCTCGCATCTCCTGTGGCTCATACACGCTCCTCGTGTCAGTCCATCCATCCGCTCGTCTGCTAGTCTGTCTGTTCGTCCGTCCATGTGTCCGTCCATGCGTCCGTCTAGTGAACACTCCAAGTACCACCATTTCCCATCTCACATCCCGGTGGCTACGTACAACAATGGAGGATGGACAGACTACGCCTTAAAAAGCTTCGCCCTTAAAAACTACTGTACATGGTGCCTAAACACAACTGTCGCTAACGCTACGAGATGGCTCTATCGTAGCAGTACATATATGTTTATATAATTGCAGATTCACCAGCACAACTGACGTTTCTCCCACATTACGTCCGAATAGCGCATTTTTACAAATCATTATGGCGACCCGACATTGCTATGTGGTAGACTACACGCAAAATAGCAGGACTCGATTCGTGCATGGTACAACGGCATTTATTCTTTCCTTTCATCCAGCCCACGCTGCCGATGTCGCTTTTCATTAACACTCTCGCATTTGAATTACCAATGTCCGTTGTCACGGTTCCTGGGTACATAAAAAATGTCAATCACCTGTGGTGCATAACCGCCTCCAGTGGCACATACCCACCCACAAATATGGCCACCGTGCCAGAAGGTGTTTAACAAGGTAAGCGTTGGAATTGTAACATTAGACAGTTTTAGCTACCGTTAGCGTGATAGCGGGGAAAAGAAATAGCGTTACCGTGCAGAAAACGTGCGTTACGAATAGCGTCTTATAATTTAGCGAGATAGCATTTACATGGTTTACACACCCTAGCTAGGATGGTGGCGCCATCTATCGAACAGTCGATAAGTTGAAGAACACGAAAAGGAGAAGAAATCGAGTATGTTTGCCTGTGTCACCGTGCGAAGTATTCTTAAAGAAAATTTTAGGAATATTAAAAGTAAATAAATATAAACCTCGCACCAAACGCTAAACAATTAGGTTTCCCATTTGTTTACACCGATTTTATATTTATGCGTAGGAAAGTTCACATTGAGAAGCTATCTCAAAAATTACACTAGCATATCCGCAATACTCGGTCATCGAAGCCAACTGAAGGCAAGTGGAGTAATTTTAAGCAGTCGTTTGCTGTGAACGAAGTCTACCTTTCAACAACTACGCATTATCACTTCGAAGCGGGCGCCCAGTAAGCGCCGCCATGTTTACTTACACTACGTACAGCACGCTAACACGGTAACGTTAAATATGAAAAATAACGCGCGTACGGTAAGCGGTACGAGCAACGTACGCATCTGTGCATGCGCACTTTGATCCCGCTATCGGGGTAAGCCCGCTATCCGCTAAGCTTGGTATACAATAACTGTTCACTATTCTTGCTACGACCAGCAGGCCATATTCGTCAAACCACCTTACTTTTTCATACCAATTCTGGACCACCCCAAGTTGAGCACCCAGACGTAGGCGGCTGATAGATAGATGCGTAGATAGACGCCAAGAGTGCCCGCAGTACGGAAACAAATCATTTGCATTTAAATTATACCAGGATATTTGATTCGGTGGATTGCTGCTGCTATGGCCACCTTGCGCCGATGAGATTCTTTAGCGGCCGCGCTGAGAGAACGCCACAATTTACCCAGTCGGGTGCTCACACACTGGTTGTCCTCCTGCGTCGAAAACAAGCGCAATATTTTTATCGGGTTTCACTGTGACAAACGGACATGATAATGAAACAAAAAAAAAAAACATGAAAACACACCTAAAGAAGCCATCAAGTTGTAAAGCTATGGTGAGCCAGTGTATGTTCGGGAGCTTCATACGAGTTCAAGAATTGCCGCTGAGTTTCTCCAATAAAGTTCATCTTAATAATCGAGTATTTCACTTTTCCCGTATACCTACAAGTCTAATAGACGAAGTATCCTCACCATTCTTCTTGAGGTCACATATAATGACGACGCCTACAAGAGCCTACCTAAATCCTCATCAGTGAAAATGATTTAGATTGTCATCATAGGGTTTAACACCCCAAGTTTGAGAAAATTTGGTGGAACCAATGGGGCCAAAATAGTACTTTGCAATTCGTGACGTCATGCGTGGAAGTTTTGGGCTAAATTTAAAAACGAAACGTTGACCTTGATTTTCTACACTATTACTGAAGTTATCATGATAAAATTAATTATGATAGCGTTCTCACAGTACAATTTAGCAATTTCAATCAATTCAGTGTTTCTCTTTAGGGTACCTTTAAGCTATATCATTGTCCTACAAAAAAAAACCGCAAAAAAGTATGAAAGCGAGTACAGTGCCCAAGCCCTGAAACGTGATATCAATGGTTTTAGCATAGCGACTCCATTCTACGGCAACGCCGGCACCCACTGCCTGTCACATTTTTGCCTCGCTAAAAACGCGGCAGGCGTTTCCACCAACCGTTGCAGCACTACAAACTTGGCTCCCGAAGGTAACGTTTCTGTGATTTCAGCGTTTGCGGTGAAATTACGGCGACATGACGCGAATCAATTACGGTGGGAACGGAAAGTAAGTACATTGCTTAGTGATAAGTTTGGTGTTCCGATCCATGAGTACTGCATTAAAGTATATACGAGGCGTTACGCCTACAAAGCAAATGCTAAATGAATAAAAAGGTTGCCGCTGTCATGTCTGTGATAGCGCCACGTGCTGTTGATAAGAGCGGCTTGCTAAGCTGCCCTGTAATGATGGGACCTGACTGCGATCAGTATAAAGCTGGCATGTCTAGGCTGCCTGCCAGCTCACCCTTTTCACTTCTTTTATACCTACGTACTTATGGGACGATATATCTGCAAAGTGTTTTTACTGTTTTACATTCATCTCCGGGCTTTGGACGTAACAGTCGTGCACGTTGGAGCTTTGTACAGCTATTACCCTCGTAGTAGTAGTAGACCAATCAGCGTTGCTAAGAAGTGAAGTATAACAGCAATGAAAATTAAGTGAAGAGTTGTAGAAACTCAATGTGTACGAAGATTGGCTCGATTGCTGTAGAAATAATTCTAACTCCCAAATGGGCCTCGCAAGTGCTCTAAGCTAAACGCTCACACTATGTGGGTGTGTTTTGTTATGTGAAGTAAAATTTTTGTGGAAACGTTTTGATGCAGAAAGGAAACGCTTTGACAAGAAGACAGGAAACTGCGCGTACGTTAGGGTTCTCAGCAGCCACCGATCGCCTGTTCTCCATTGCGAACAGCATGAACGCGTTTGGGGGCCGCGGAAGGTGCCTCCGCAGGTGATAGCCATGCTGCTCTTCATTGCTCATTGACGGACCTGCCACGCTGAGGTCGGGCGGCTGCGTAAAAGATATACGTAAGAGAAGTGCGCATGTTCATCCGCAAACTTAAGCTACACATGGACAGGAATAAAGAAGGAACAAGACAAACGATCAAGCATTCATACCTACCAGCCCGATTTACATGTTTATCAAGTCCCTCTTCTGGTTATGTGTTCTGCTAAATATCTACTGTTTATGAACCAGAGGGGTCCTGAAAAGGTCGCCCCTAAAATTACGAAGTGAAAACCGCCGCAACAACACCTATTAGGTAGCTGACGTTTTGTGTGACGTCAGCGTAAGAAGATATTACACATCTCAGATTGATTTTCGTGGCAAAGCGTCCATGCTCGATAGGCTTATCGAGGCTTTGTCTCGCTAAGCGTCCATGGAGGTTTACTCTTCTTAGGCGTACATCCCCTAAAGCTGAAATCGTACGCTTTGCGAGTGTTCAATCTAACCGGAACAAGACGTGGCCGGCTACAAAGGCCATTGCCACTGCACGCGCGTCCAATCACAACCTTCGCGGCCTAACGAAATTTCCACAAGGTTCCTTCAAACTTTTCTTTACCTCATCTGGTGCAGTGGTCGCTTCCGTTGCTGCAGTTGCTGCCACTGCTGCTCCTGGGGAAAACGGGTGACCCTCTACAACAGCTGAGACAGTGGCTGACGATGATTCCTGACCATCGCTGGCAGCACCGCCCACGGAGTCTAAACTGTCCGAAAAGCCTCCGTCGTCGAATGGCGAGCTGGCCACCGACGAGTCGTCGTCCTCTTCTTCCACCGACGTGGCTGCAGAGACATGGTCAGAGCTTTGCAAAACCGCCGTTCCACGAACTTCTAAGGCATAACTTTCTGTCCAGCTTGCATAATTTTACGGTTGAAGTGAGTGTGGTGGAATTTAATTAATGAGTAATGGTAGGAATTCCAAGTCTATTTTCAACTGGCTCGAAGGGGAGCTTAGTGCCCACGAGGATGACAGAAATCAGGTGCCCTTTTTTCTTCTTCAAAAACCACGCATTCATTCTCTTCTCCTATCCTTCTCACCCTCTATATCTCTCCCACACTTTTGCTATGGTATACATTTCTATAACATGCATTGCCATGCTGTACTAGGAACTGCTTGACTCATATCCACCGAGTTTTCAGTTTACGCTACTCGAAGGAACCTTGAGCTGCTAGGATAACTCCTCTGGCTGCGCCCCTGCGCCAAATAATCCCATGTCGTAATGGCAGCATTTTGAACCCCCCACAGAGCCTCGGCAGTGCTCTCGACCAGTCATAGTTGACAAGGTGGTGAATTTGACAATATGGCGTAATCAAGTGGTAGTTAGGATAGAACCTTTATCACAAGAAATTTGAAGAAAAAATTGAAGAAGCTTTGTCAATTCTGAAGTGTGTTCAGCGAAAGCCTACGCCTGATGAGATGGGGTTGGTTAGAATGGGACACGATGCGCGCGTTCAATGAGTGGGCATGCTGGGTGCGACGCTACGTTATAGCGTATGTTCCAATGTTCACCGTAGACGGCTCAATAGACAGCTAACTCTTCAGGGGCCATCTTATGTTTCATTCCAATTCTCAAGTAGTGGGCAATCAAAAGGCATCATCGACAAGAACGATGCAGGGTACTTTGCTGTCCAAACAGGATGGAGGCTAAGCGAAGTGCTCAGACAGCTCGGATCTCGTTGGTATGGTCGTTTGAATACAAGCAAATGCGTTTCAAGATAATCAATAGTAGTAGAATTCAATTTTCCGTAGATATAAAAACGAATAAGGCAAAATAAATAACATTTACATTTCTTTAACTTAGATTTCTCTCTTCAACGTTAAGTAGCGTAGGGTCACGTAGCGTAGACGGCACAAGAAAGCGTAGACGGCACAAGAAAGTGCTCAATTTTTCGAAAAACATGGGCTCTTCTATGGTGTCAGCGTTGACTGTATATTTGATGCTGTGTAGTATCGGAACACATCCATGATAAATGGCTGCATTCCCACGTGTTTCACTGCATATTTCACCGAAGCCAACAGCCTTTGCATCTGGAGAGAGCGAATAAAACATTTATTTGATGTTTCATGCGAGAAAATTGGTGAATCGGATTCTGGAGGCGCTACCTCCAAGTTCCTCAATGCCCGCAATGGGAAAGTGCCGCCATCATATCGTATTAGCAAGACTAGAGTGTACTAAAATGTTAGCACATTATAGCGAGGCGCAGGAAACACCCCTTTTTCCTGCTAAGCGTTGCATTGTCAGCCTATTGTAATAAACACAAGGATCCTTAGAATTACTGATTTACGTCTTTTATACTATGAAGAAACACGTCACAGTATACTGACGTTTTTGTGTTTTGCCTCAAATATGCGCGAAACTTGATTTATAATCGATAGTACGCGCAAGTAGGAACTCGGAAACCATTTCAATATTGGTGGGGGCTGCAGATGTGATTGAATTTCGGAATAAAAGGCAAACAATAGAAGTAAAAACGACTACCTGTTTCGGGTGCGAGACAGACCAGTCAGAATTTTTGCGTCGAAGTACCCAATGAAAAGCTATCGTCTTTAAAAGTGTCCTCTAACACTTTTCGCGACCTCATAGTTTGACATGTTTTTAAAGCTGGTTGCGTACACTGAACACTGAAGGCTTAAGAGATAAGTGCCGCAAGAACGGCAACGATAGGGGCACGCTTTTATTTTTTTATTTTCTTCAAACAACGGCGCCTGGAGCGTCCCCGACGCGTTTCCTTCAGAACCATCGCGTTAGGCGCTCTAATGAACAAGCTTTGCAGTTTTCAAGCTGGAAATTCGAAGAGCTTCATTCTCTTCCGCTTTGAGGGAAAAATCATGCCAAACAAACAGTTGGCCCCATATCTGCATGTTTTTGCAAATCTCGTCGAAAGGCGATAGTCTTGCGTGTGGAGCGAGTGAACGACACATGTATTTGATGTTCTGCGCAAGAAAATCGGTGAAAGGCATTCTGGAGGCGCTGCGTTAGAGTGCCTCGAGCGTGCAGCGAAGGCAAACGAGCGCATCAAGTCACGTCATACGTGAAACATGAGCGCCATCTGGTAGTTTTCTTAGAAAACAAAGCGCGTGGCTCTGAGACGGTTGTCCGCGCCCATCTCAGAGGTGATAAGGTGTAGAACGCAAGGCGATGGGTAGGTGCCACCATCATCTCGTCTTAGCAAATCGCTGGAAATACTTCCCGTTCCGTGCAAGCGTTGCATGGTCAGCACAGCTTGATTAACGCTACTGTCCCTAAAACTACTTATGTATGCGGTTTTTTGTAAGAGATGCACATGCAGAATATATACGTGTTGTTAGGGTGCCCCAGGCATGCGAAATATTTGCTTTTTAATTGACAATCGCACAAGCATGAACGCTCAAGCTTGAAAACATTGGTGGGCGCTTCGGATGGAATCGGCCGTTTCAAGCATAGAGTTTCTCAAAATTAACTTGAGGGCACTCTGGTGCTGCGATCGTGCAGCGACCATGGGAATGATGGGTAGTACACACATTTGCCTAGTCTTCGTACTTGCGGGTGGCGAATCGTACTTGCGGCTTCGTTTATTTCTGTGTTTCGATTTTGTTTTGAAAGAAAGATTCAACCCTTTTGAACGTCGTGACCCATTTTGGAAAGGTAAATAGGAAAAAATAGGGTGGTGAAGCGCAATCGCACACCATTTACTGATTTTTGTTTCGTGAGAGAACAGCTTCAAGCCACACGAACACACACAGAGCCAAGAACAGTAAGAAGTACGAAGACTAGACAAATGTGTGCACTACCCATTAATTCCATGCTCGCTGAAGCACCGTGCGTTGCAGCTTCCATAAACACTAGCGCCAGAGTACCCTCTAGTGTATATTGGGAAACTATGATTTCATGCACCCAATGCAAAAAAAGTAGACAAACAGACAAATGTACAGGCAGACCAAAATTTTTTGCGCCGAAGGTTCACAAAAAAGACTATCGTCTTTAAAAAAAATGACGGCAGATCCATGAGGTGAATGATAATGAGATTTGGCGAAGCTCCTGCTAGTAATACCGTGAAATTTTCTTCCGTTAATTTACCTGGCGATATGCGCGCTTCCTCGCCGCTTCCCGTTGTCGAACGTTTTCAAGATCTGCTTCGTGACGTTGACCTGCTGCCTCGGCCTCTCGTTCCCGTACGGAAAGATCTTGTCGACGCTGACGTGCCACTGCAGCTTCTTGTTCACGTACGGAGGGATCTTGACGACGCTGCCTTGTTGATGTGGCTTCTTGTTCCCGTACAGCAGAATCTTGCCGACGCTGACGTGCCACTGCAACTTCTTGTTCACGTACGGCGGGATCTTGCCGACGCTGCCTTGCTGATGTGGCTTCTTGTTCCCGTACAGCAGGATCTTGCCGACGCTGCCTTGCTGATGTGGCCTCTCGTTCCCGTACCGAAGGATCTGGCCGACGCTGACGTGCCACTGCACCTTCTTGTTCACGTATGGCGGGATCTTGCCGACGCTGCCTTGCTGATGTGGCTTCCTGTTTCCGTACAGCAGGATCTTGCCGACGCTGCCTTGCTGATGTGGCTTCCTGTTCCCGTACAGCAGGATCTGCTGACCGGCCGGGCTCCATTGGAAGAACTGTCCAATCCAGACGACGCGTCGACAGAACCACTAAACTACAACGCTACGCTGCAGTACTATCGACAGAGCCGTTATACGTATCCTCCCCCTCATCCTTCACTTAACAAAGCAGATGCTGTCGCTTGGCGGCAACTACAGACCAATTTATTTCCTTGCCTTTATATGCTAAATCGCTTTCATCCGACTCTCTATCCCTCCTACTGCCCCTTCTGTGGATCCGTACCGACGGTGTACCACTCCACGTGGGAATGCTCTGCCCCACAGGGCGTGCCTCCCATTCCCAATCCCACCCCTTCCCCTTGGGAGTCTGCACTGCTCAGATTACGCCGGCAGGAACAGCAGCAGCTGGTCCAGCGGGCTCGCAGGGTCGCGCAAGGCAATGGAGCCCTGGACTGAGGGCCCCACCCAAAGAAAGCTCAGTGTGCATTTGTTATTAATAAATGTTTATTCTCTCTCTCTTGCCGACGCTGCCTTGCTGATGTGGCTTCTTGTTCTCGTACAGCAGGATCTTGCCGACGCTGCCTTGCTGATGTGGCCTCTCGTTCTCGTACGGAAGGATTTTACCGACGCTGATGTGCCGCTGCAGCTTCTTGTTCACGTATGGCGGGATCTTGCTGTTGCTGCCTTGCTGATGTGGGTTCTTGTTACCGTACAGAAGGATCTTGGCGGCGACGTCGCGCAGATTCGTGGTGCACTTCTGTCTCGCGTGCTCTCACTTCAGGGTCCTGTCGGCGAGCGTGCACCGCCGCTGCCCTGCGCGCCCGCGTTTCGGCATCCTTATCCATACGAGCACACACCGAGGGCAACGAGCATCGGTAACTACAAACCTGTATCGATATGGTTTTGATTATAAAACCGTTGCTTCATAGAAAACACCTGGCGTCTTTCGTTAAGCAGCTAGCATCTTCAGTTTGTTTTGCTTTAGAAACATCTGGCGTCTTCTCGTTTTGCTTTTAGAAAACATCTGGCGTCTTTCGTTGATTTATTTCACCAATCAACGGTGCTTTGAACAAAAAATTTTATTGTTTATTCACGCACAGAAGAAATCTCACCAGTCACTACCAGGTAAACAATCGCTGCTACTGGGAATGAGAGAGAGCAGAAGTCGGCTTTTAACACTTCTGCTTCTACTAACGTTTCCTACTGCAACATGCCAATGGCTGCTAATGGGGAATGAGAGACAGAAAAATTCAGCTTTTAGTTAGCGTGCACGCTGCGAATTTTTTTATTGTTCAACAACGCACACGAGAAATCTCCCACCGGCACCACCTTGGAGGTCAAAGCGTAAGACTGGTTACACATTACTACGACTACGAGGCACGAACGGGTGCCGCTATAAGGAGCTTCGCCCGTAAAAAGAAATCCAATAGTGATCCTTATTTTGAAGCAATGACTTGATTACATTTAATATTACATTTATCCAATGATGTGGCAGCAACGTTCCAGCGTCATCTCCGCTCGCAATAGTTCTGGCAAGCGCCACTACAAGTTATGCAGTCCGCACCTATGTTTTCGAGCGTTAAAGGGCCCTTTTAATAGAAAAACATGAGCCGTCAACGCAGCAGGCAGACGCAGGGTGGCTAAGTGAGTATAAGTGAGAGAGACACGTGTGCATGGGAGCCATTTGGCCCCATTCGATCGTTGATTCGGCTGACTCGAACGCTCCAACGAGACGCTGTGTCATAACGTGAAGGCTGAGAGAGTGAGAGGGGAAGAGACCACAGCTGGCACCGTGCCGCGGAACGTATGGAGGACGTATAGACGCACGGACGTGAGCACGAGACAACGAAGGCTATGGCATCAAAAATTTAGAAAGGAAGCTGTCACAACGCCTTACCGACAAAGTTTAAGCAAGCGCTCCCCCCCCCATCCCTTCCAAATAAAGAAAAGGCCTGTTCTGGTGATTCCTTCAAGAATAAGTGACGTTGATCTGTTATTATATTTGGTAGGTTAGTTGTAAGCTAAAATCTCGGCGGAAGTAATAAATCGAGATGAGTACTGGTGACTTGATCTTCAATAGGATTTCAGAAGACTTTGACGCTTTCTAAGAAAACGGTTTACACCGTGACTCACGTTAAGCAGTGCCTGCCAAAAGAAAGTTGCCGTAACGTTCGGCACTGAGTTGAAGCCTGCAATAGGCAAGCGTATGGCGCATGCGCAACGCTAACGCAAAGCTTTGCGTTGGCCTCTCTAATTAAATAGGCAGGCTTGCGAGGCAGAATGCAATTCTTTCTTCACCGAACGGTATTGCGTTACCGTGCTCCTACTGAGATGGTGGTCACACCCGCCATCTTGTAAGAGGCATGGCTTTACCCTGAAGCAATATTTCGCTTCATTGCCCACTCTGTCGAACGTCATGGAGTCCCGTCCAGTTATGTTCACCAACTTACGTTTGTTCAGTTCAGCCATGGGGCTACGGGCCTCTCGGCGGGTCGCACGGCAGGTCCCGCAACTGAAGTCCTGGCAAAAAGACCTCGCTGTTGGCTTGTAGCGGAGACGATTACTAGCTGGATTGTGCCTCGATGTTCTAAGAACCACGGTAGAACGTCGTAACTCAGGCTTCGGCACGCAGGAACATGCGCCAGCACGAGGACCGTGCGTGCGAAACGCGACGAAATTCACGCGGATATCTTCTTCCTCGTCTTCACTTCATGGACTTTTTCACGGTTCAACGCACGCTGGTGGATCCGCCATGAGGTCGTTGATAAAAAAATTCCAGCATCTTTATAGAGTTTTGATGATCTATTTGTGGGGTTTAACGTCCCAAAATCACCATATGATTATGAGAGACGCCATAGTGGAGACGCCATCTCCCTGCTCGATAGTGTTGAGGCATAGTCTGTTTCGCTAAACCAAGAAAAGCGGTTGGCATACGTCAAACTTTCGAAGTCCTTACAATCAGCATATAAAATCATGAGATGGCAATGATAATTTTATTTCTACACTTTCCGTAGCAATCGGAAGGTTCGGCATACTTACAGATCCTCTTTGCGGGTATTTCTGTTCTGTGTCTTGACTAAGTCAGCATGTGTCTCTACTTTAGTGTCTGCTTTGGTATCAGAAGTTAGTATCAGAAACTTTACTTCCCATTCACAATTTGTTCATGTAAGCTGAAAAAAAAGCCTTTTCATCTTTGCGAGTCTGAAATTTATACTGGTTTTTTCCGTCACCGTGATGTCCCGCATATTCTCCTTGGTCCCTGGGTACCCATTTAGGTACCGTTGTTTTAAAGGCTCTAAATTATCACAGTTCAATATTCGCGTGTCCAAATTTCTGTTGGCAAAATAAGGATGAGTTGCTTTCACGAAGGAACTCATTGAAGCAACACGGTGCCCTGAGAAGTGGTGCATTGTGTCTAATCATATTCATGAAACGAGCGAACGGAAGTTACTGAGTAGTGCACGAGCACTCAGATGCGTACTGCACGAATGCTCGGCTGTGTTCTCGTGATAAGTGAAAGTTGTTTTCTTAGTTGCAGCGCGAACGACAACGTCTGTATTACCCCTTTTCAACTTTGGAGGCCCTATAAATCATATTGAAAGTCATTTTTGACTGATAATTTTTTTTTCACCCAATTCAGACACATCAAAAGATCAGGAGCACGCAAATGGGTACAATCACATTTTGAGACAACCATTCAATGTTTAGGAGTCATAGTTTTTCGGCGTTTGTTTTTTTCTTGGGTGCAGGGAGTCAAATAATAGTTTTGCAAAAGCTTTTTTCCTTAGTGCATTCTTGCGACTGAGAAGAGTATGTATATCTATTTATATATTTAGAAAATCATCATAGAAAATAATTTAGAAAAATGTTTTCCATGTGCGGAATCGAACGAGGGACCCCTCACTCCGCAGCGCGCAGCGTCAACCAATGAGCAACGCAGGCACTGGTTCTTGAACGTTCAATTGATGAGCTACTTATATACACCAATTACCACTGGCAGTGACATCTCGGGGTGAGTATCAGCGTGTTCATAACATTACCAGTGAGATTACGCGAAGCACTAAGGGTGCGCTCGGCGCCCCGCTCGTCGCAACGCGTGGTCATGCGTTCACCTCCCTAGCATGCTTTGCCCCACTGGGGGTGCACACGCTAATCTCGTGGTGGGGAGCATTGTACGTTTTTGTCTTTCATTAGAAAGATCACGTTATAGTTCTCAGGTTCACGTAGTTCACTTCGGTGGCTGCAAAGTTCCGACCTGCGAAAGGACCGTGCTATTTAGACACAACGATTTAACAACCATGACACTTGTTAGTTCGCGCTCGTCTGTATATTGGAGTGCTTTTCGTGCATCGTATTTCCTTCAGCAGCGCATCAAGTCTTGAGCTGTGAATGTTGTTAGTTCGCTCTCGTCCTGTTTGTGTTATTTTCATACGTCATTTGTGACTTTTGTGCACAAAAACGTGCTGCACGTTTCAATTCGCTTGCCATTCCTCGCGTGATATTCCACTTTGTTTCAAGGGTCTTCAAGTGCGTGCCCCCTCCGGCGTTACGCACATGAAGGCTCTCTAATTTTGCTGCTATCGCGTTCATTGCTGCAGCCTTGAGGTGGATCTCTGACTTTTTTCTGCTAAATGTACCACAGACATACTTATGGTGGCAAATGTGCACGTGCGAATTGAACAGTACAATGCGTGTTGACAACATCACCTGCATGCTTTGCAAGGAAGCCATTCATAGCACACACATGATTTTTATTCTTACCAGCCCTCTTAGAAAGCTTTGGCCACAACAGTATAAGAACGTCACTGCATAACGAATGTGGCGCCCTTTATTTGTTGATTTAGCCCAGAAAAGGAAGAGATAATGAATAATCTTGAACACAGTTATGAAAACAGGCAGGATATGGGTTGCGACCAAAGTAGCTCTTATAGAGATTGAGCTTTGATAAATAGGAGCTCTGATATTTATTGAGTTCTGAAAAGGAGCTCTGTTGGATACTTGATGTTCTTCCTAGAATAAAAGTACAAATGGAATTAGCCGGACAAACGACGCCGTATAACAGTGACAGTGATAATTTACAATGAACTATGTACAGCCGTGGCCACGCCTGTGTAGGGGGCGCGAGCAGCTGGGTTTCCCTCTGCGGAGCGACACCTTGAGGCAGTTTCGGGCTATGACATGATGTGCCAGGAGCATGCGTGGCCTAGCAGTCCGGCTGACCACGCTAGAGCTCGAAACTGCCTCAAGGTTTCGCCACGCAGAGTGAAAACCAGCTGTTCATATGCACTACAAAGACATGACGACGTATCTTCGAGCACATAGTGAAACTAAGGAACCTGGGTGGCAGCCTTATGAAATAATTCAGGAGGGTTGATTTGTTGGGACCTACAGCTAAGTGAAGAGAAAGCAACAGAAGAGAAACCCAAAGCTGTTTGGCAGTTAATGTTCGCAGTCATGGTTGGCTGATACAGCCTTTTTCTGTGAATAACTGCACACTTGAGCGCAGAGTGAATACGTTGTAGCATAAAAATACGACTTACTTACGCGAGAGACTCAACAAAAAACAACTGTGTTCACACGTGAACAAATAAGCTGGATTCGCCTGAATTTACGAGCTTGAGTTGGCTGTTCGTGACGTGGTTATGGCCAAGATATCAGCCGAGGCAGGTACTTCTGGTAGCGAAGGCTCCATAGAAGCCGAGACGTTCAGAAGATGGCGGCTGATCAGCTGCTCATAGAGCTTAGCGCCATCTCTGTGAGGTGGAATACTTCCGGCAGAATAAGAAATAAATTGAATGTGACGAAATAGCTAGTTAACAGGTGACGTATGTTTGCATGCACTATACCCGGCGACAACTTTCTGTGGCAGCACGGCCAAGGCTACGTGGGCGGAGCCTATGCACATGTGCTACTGCGCCAAGTAGTCCGACCGCTTCGACGGGTGTTTCAGTTTCGATTTCACCAGCGCAGTCCGCGTCTGCTCGCGTTTCGGCTCGCGTTTGCTCGCGTTTCGGCTCGTGTTTGCTCACGTTTCGCTGCAGGAAACGCGAGTCGCATCTTTGGGAACTCGAGAGCAATTTTTAATAATATTGTGACGTGATTTACTGACGCGTGGACCCAGGTTGCTGGGTGAATGATACATTCAATTGTTCATGTAATGGTTACACAACTCATCATGCACGTACCGTTTTTGAGCGCGAAGTTGTCGGATGGTACGCAAGTACCGCCGTCGCCACGTGATGATGTCGTCTCTTTCCAAAAGCTCACAGTTTCTCTTCCGTTTGCGAAAGGAAAAGCCGATATCGTTAAGCAGCCTTTGCATCGTTCGCACGCTCATTTTAGGCATGTTCATGTCGGCGCTTCGGTGACTTCAGGGTTCCACTGTTAACGTCGAGCTTAATCCGGAAGACACTGCGCTCGCTAACACCAGTGAGCTCGCTGACTTTCCGACATGCGGCTCTCACAGACAGCTGCGGGTCGCTTTTCCTTACTTGCGCGTAAACGTTGTACGCCACCTTCTTGGCCTGTACGGACAGCTTTTGATTTGACAACGCCTGGTACGGCTGCGCAGCTGGTGGACTCGCGGCACGCGGCAGTGTTTCCTCCGTAAGCGACGTTGACGAGCTGTAACCGGCGGACGCCATCTTTGACAGTGAGGAATGGGGTGAGGTAAAAAGACGAGGGAAACCAAAAAACCCCCAAAAAACCTGAGAGAGCGTGAAACAAAATTTTTTCTACTGCGCAACATTTTTATTCACTAATTAAAAAATAAATCCGCGAAAAATGTAAGTGACGAATGGTAAAATCTAGTTACCCAGAACAGTATACAAACGTTTTCGTTGAGGGACTACATGCTGTGGCGCAGTAAGACAAGCGTGCTTCGGCTCCGTAGCCTTGGCTGTGCTGCCACAGAAAGTTGTCGCGGGGTATAGGTGGAGATTTGATTTCAAATTACTTCTCTTAGGTCTTTTATCGCTGAGGACTCGTGCTGAGGCGGTCGGCGGCAAGTCCTCCACGAGTGCGCTTCAAATCAACGACAGCTAATCTGATACCTACTCATGACTAGATAGCGATGTTTAAGTGTACTACCGTTCACTTTGTGCTGGTGTTACGGGGAATATTTTTTTTTGAACTTTTATTTGGCATTCGGGCATTTTCGCAGATGGTTTAAAGCAACGAACAGCGTATTCTTGTCATATCTGCAGCGCTGCTTATTTGCTCCACACGTACGCATGTTCTATAGCATGCACAGTACTTGTGTTCTTCAGTTTTAGCAGTAAAAAGATGACGCCTAGGCACGCCAGAATGATGACATTTCACTTTTATTGAATGGCTGCATCAACTCGAACTTATTACTTTCGCACACAATGGGAATATCCACAAAAGTCTGCGAACACTACCCAGATTTTTATGAAGTTTTATATAATACTAAATTACCACTTTGCAATTAGTGTGGTTCAAAGAAGCGT